GGATATAACAAGGATGAGTGGTGGCAAGTAGGAGTTTGCACCTTCAGGGGGGTTCCCACACAAAGGGAATTTCACAGACTAGGAATTTCACAGCTCTGGTCATTGTGCTCACAGCAGCCATTCCTCCATCACTTTACCTCACATCACCCATTTTTGCAACATGCTACCAAGGAAGTGTGTAGACAAGCAATCCTTAGCAACCCCTGATAGACATTGCCTATCTTAATTCCAGTCATGAGCTGCACTGACAGGTGACTTCATGATGACAGAAAAACCTGGTCCCTGTTGATTCCTCAATCTTTTACCTAACAGTTTCCTCAGAGAAATGGACTTAAATGGTTAAACTATGAAGTAGCCATACAAAAGAAATCAAGTGGTAAAAGGATTAAGACATCATCCTTAAGATTTCATCACAATTACAACTACTTGGTACCGAAATTGGGGTTTTAACATGTGCACGCTGACACTGTGGACCTGCAGTTGTAACATTGTTGATTGATGCACCTCAATTTTCTGAAGCATCCCCACGCAGAGAACCCACCTGAGCTGGCAGGATGCCTGCAGGAAACCTCTGCTGGCAAAGCCACCATGCAGGTCAGTGCAAAAGTAAAGTGACTCCATGGCTGTGCCTGCAGAGGGCTAGTCTAGCTTACAGTTTACCTTATTGAAATCTCAGCAGGGGCAAGGTTAGAACTCACAGAAGCAAAGATCTTTGCTAAGAACCTAATTCAGATGAGTGCAGTCTGGGCAGACCTTGTCTGGACACAGAAGTCAGGGCTTCAGTGTTACTGTGGACGAGACCTCAGTGCTGAGTCTTCAGAGGTGGTTCTGGGAACAGCTTACAGTCCCCTGAAGCTGCACTGACTTAAAATGAGCTGTAAGGCATTTCCTGGTGCTGCACTTGTAGAAATCAAGGTATACTACAATTTTACACCCCTGTTTTTAGGAAATACCCAGGCTGGCAGGTGGTGACAACTCTCTTATAGGTGCTGCAAAACTTTTCCAGAGGACCATAGAGGTTTCGTAGCAACTTCCTTCCATGGTCTTGGTGCTCAGTTGTGTTGTTTGCCATCATAAAACAGTGTTTCTGCCTATTTAAACTAGTTTAGTTCTTTTAAGCTGGCCAGGCATTGGCAGTGCAGCAGCAGTGTCTGATTTATACTTTTCAGCTTTCTATCCTTATATTCTTTTCCTCCAAAACTAACAAAACCTGAAGCAATGTAAGTGGGTTTCATGGGTTTTTTTTGTTTTTTTTTTTCACTAACCAGATCAGCCCATTGCTTAAATTGCTGAGCAATAGAAAAACTCCAAATTCAGAAAAGAAAATCCAAATTTAAAAACAAATATACACAGCAGCAATATATTCTCTGATCTCTGCATCTCCTACATAGCTCCTCTGGCATATCAAAACCAACAGATGTTGGTCATGTGCTTTGGATAACTCTTTCCAAATATGTGAGAGATATCACATTTTTGAGCCAAAAATGCTCTTAAGAACAATAAAAAACCAAAACATCTAAACTGAGATAACCTTTGTGTGCATGCATGTGTATCCAGTTTGAAAATGGCCATAGGTTTTAAACCTGTAAATTCACCAATAGCATCCAGGTTTGAACATATTGAAGTGTTTATTCAGTATTGCTGGTTGAGACAGGCAGCTTCTGACAGACAGCTGGAAATGACACCTTTAACTAGAAAGAAAGTGAGGAAGCAATTTGGTGAGTGGAAAAAACTTTAAATGGTTTGGGTGTAAGAGGGTGCAAGAGAGAAACCCAGTTACTTCTGTGTCCTGGAGCAGCACTGAGACATTGTTTGTTCCTGAAGTAATTCACTACAGAAATACATATTCTTGGTGTTTTCCTTGAAACCTGCACTGCTCTGTAAGCTCTGTCATAGAGAGCCATGAATAACTGTGATTGTATGATTCTATTGTATGATTTTATGAACTGGAGTGCAGGAGGAAATGTGGATTCCAGTCCTCCCATACTGAAGCCAGACTCTTCCTGCCCTCACCAGGATCCACCCCTGCCTGATGCTGAACAAATCCAATATTCACAGGGTGTGGCATCCCACATGAGCAAGACTGAGGCACAAACCCAGGCCTTCCAAAACTGCCCGATGTGAACTCCCTCCCTCTTTCCCTGGGCTTGGCTGCCACTGTTTTAACCCATCATCAGGCACCTCCACTAGGGATCAGCTGCACTTACATCCTCATGCATGTTGGAGATTTGCCTGCTCTTGCCATTTGCCAAACTTTACTGCTGTAAAACATTGGATTTGTTGCTCAGCACTAGTGCTTGCACCAATGTGGCTGTGTCAGCCGTTGGCATCATCAACAGCTTGCCCTGGCAGAGACCAGGGCAAACTTGCAGAGCAGATCAGACCTTGGATTTCTATCAAAACCCATCTGTTTCTGACTGAGAGTTATTCCCACCACCTTTATAGCTGGGTAGGATAATGAGCTATTGAACCCACAAATTAGCACAACATGGAGTTCGTTTAATAGCTTTCCTCTAGAGAAAGTCAAGGCTGCTAGTGCATCTTGTGTATACAAGCCAGGCCAGCAAGCAGGAGGACTTATAGCTGACAGTGTCAATTGTTTTTAAAGTGTTACTGCAGTGCTGGCATTTGAAAAGCAATTTAATATTTCTCCCATGACAGTCACTTCAAATATTCTGGAAACAACCCGTATGAAACCACGGATGACAGTTACAACACTTGTCTTTGCTGAGATGCCCAGACCAGATTTGTGTACAGCTTGTGCAGTGCTGTGAGGTGAACAATGCAGCAAACACAGCTCTTCCATCCACCTAAATCCACGTGGCAGTGGGGGTGTGCAGGGGGTGAGCCCCACACCTCAGGCCCTGCCACAGGGGTGTTGTAATTAAAGAGCACAAGGGCTGGAAGGAATTCAGGCAGAGCTGCTGCAGCAACACTCCCTCCGCAGCAAGCTGCAGCACCAAGGGTTAACATTCTGCTGCCTGCCTCACAAATCTGCATAATGCCTTGCTTTGGCAGCTCATTTGCATAATTTTAAATTACTCTTTTGTCTGGAAAATAAAATCTAAAACATAGGTTCAGACATAAGTGGCAGATACTAATGTTTTATATGCTAAGAAGGCTTGGTTAAGTCTATTTGTCTGAACTCAACAATAGAGGTTGTGAAAATAATTTTAACAGAGAGATGTTGTTTCTTTATTGCACAGCCTTGAGTGCCATTTTGACTTCCTAAATAAGGTCTAATGTGCTCACAGAGGGGATGAAGCTTGCCTACACACGCTCAGACTCTCCAGCTCTCCGGAGGGCTCTGCAGCTCCATCCTTTGCCGGGGGGGTCCAGCCCACCCCTCTCATTAAACTGCAGAAACAATGCAGCAGCTGGAGACTGAATCCCTGTCATCAGCACATCCTTCAGGGATGGGCTTCCAGGCTGTAGCTGTGTACTCAGAGGTGTAGACACACGATGAGCTCCTGTCCCACCTCCCACTGCCAGGAGGGATTCGGCTTAACAGAGGATGGATACCTACATTTCCTCAGATGAATCACACTCCCAGCTCCATCGACTGCCATAACTAAGTCTCCACTGCCTGGTGTGGGAGATTAGACACCTAAATTCAGGTATCTGTTTTCTGGATCTGATTCCCACTCCAAATTCAGCTGCCAGACTGTGAGGTGGTCTTTGTGGGCAGAGCCCCATACCTCTCAGTTATGCTCTCCCTCGTGCTGGGAGACAGATACAAAGCACAGTGCCTTCTACTCTTAAGTGATGTGTTTCAATGTAGGAAAAGGGGCATTAACCTGCACTGGCACTTCAGTGTGTTTTAAATCATAGCTTATCAGAACAGCAGAATAAATCCTAGGAAACAGAAAGCCAAATGGGTAAGTTGCCTGTCATTATGACTGAAGCCTATTTGAACTCCTGCCCTAGTGCCTTACATACTATTAACTTCTGTACATTCCTCAGGCAAAAGCCTGTAACTTGTGCATTAAAAATAAACAGCATTTCCAAATGGGAGATCCCAAACCAATGGATTTGTGCTCTTGCCTCTGTTGTCCTGAAAGCTAGGTGACACAAGAAGACATTTCCCAATGGACATCAGCAGTGTGCCCAGCAGGCATTCTGCCCAGAGGAGCAGCCAAGGGGTTCCCCTGCCAGCTGGAAGGCATGGTGACAGGGAAAACTTCAGGCAAATTTAGCTGGGTCTAGGTAGGTTGTACAAAATGTACGGGGGGAAAGGCCAAGTGTGAGAACGTACTCATGAGTGAACAGATCTGCCAAATACTAACAAGTTTATACCTGGCTCATTTAGTTCAGTTTTTCTGCCCTCCTTCAGATTCTAGTGGCATTACAATATTCATGAAAATATTTCAAAGATGACTTAGGGCCATATTTCTTCTCCTTTCCCATTTTGCAATACCTAAACCTTTTGGTTGACAATTTTGTTAAAAAACAGACAAAGTATATATACAGTATTAAACATTTAAGGCCCAATAATTAAAGTCTCAGTTCACAACAAAAGGCAAGTGAAACTACCTGTATGTTCAGTTAGTAGCAAGTAATTCTGAATGTGCAAATCAGCCTGCAGTTTCATGTCAACTACCTGCCTGTCTATAGAAATATGGCCAACAGGTATAAGCAACAGTGTTGCAATTGCTGTTGTTCACAATAACACGTTCAGCCATCAGTTAACTGTGACCCTGTCTTGGTTTGGAAAGACAGGTGTCTGCTAAGATAGGCAGGAGCGTCCCCTGAAATGGAAAAATGTAAACCCCCTCCCTCCAAACTGTTATAAATTTGAAATTAAGGGGCTCTCAGGAAAACATGGGAGCAGGAATAACAGTTCTTTATTAGGGAAGAAAATAAAAAGAGAAAACAATGCAGTAAACCAAAACAACACTGACAGAGTCAGAACACAACCTGACACCCTGTTGGTCAGGGTGTTGGTAGCAGTCCAATTGGAATTGTGGCTGCAGTCCTCCTGGAGTGTCAGGTGTGGTTCTGCTGGAGCAGGGATCCTGTAGAAAGGGTGTAGTTTTCCTCTGGAGATCCAGTGGAAGAGGCAGCTGTTCCTCTGGGAAATCCAGTGGAAAAGCTGTGCTGGTGTTCCAGAATCTCACGATCATATCCGGGTAGGAATGCTTGGCTCCTCCCTGTGGGTGGAGCATCTCCCAGTGGATGCTGTAGTTCTTATCAGTCCTGCAGTGACATTCAATAGCCTGTTATCAGCAGATGTCTCCCTGGAGGGAGGAGTAGTTGTGGAAGAGATAAGGAAAACTGCCCACTTAACAGAAGACAGCTGCCATACAGATGGCAAATAGAATATAATTTGCTTGGCAATGCAGGACAGTCCCTTTCCTCTTAACTGCAATGGAAGAAAAACCTTCCACACTATTTATTCATATTTTCTTTCCTCCATTGGTTTCAATAAAGCAAAATGTTAACAGCCAAAGCAGTTCCCAGCACAGTCTTCGTGTGCTGCATTTCCTATTGACCATTGCAATTTTTTTTCTGCCTTTCAGTACTGAAGGACCATCACCATAAAAATCCTGTTTTGTGGGACTAACAAATGTTAGAGCTGCCTCTCTTCACATGAATTTAACATCTACTTTTTTTGACATTTAATCACTTCTGTGACTGGCTGCAAGACCCACTGCAACTGCATTCTCATCTGGGGATGATGCTATAGGGACAAGGAAGAACAGTAAAAAACAACCATCCTGTTCTATGTGAATGTTCTTAGTGATTGAAAGGGAGAAAACAAAGAAGAAAACAGCTCATAGGATTTTTAGCAGAAGGTGCAATCATCCCTGGAAGCAAAACCCATCGTTTAAAGGGAATGGGCTGTGCTTGACACTTTGCCTGCACCTCCTGACGGGAGCCTCCAACTGCTGAAATATGGAAGAAATATTTCAGAAGGGATGGTGGATTTGTAGGCTCTGTGTACACTCATTTTTGCCAGGCCAAATTTCTCCTGAACAGCCGCTGTTTATAAGCCACTTCTCAAATGACACAGCCTCTGGTTTGCTTCAAGTGCCAGCTGTAAACGGAGGCTGCTTTGGAGATATTTCACAAGCATTTTCAGCTTTCTGTGTGCCTGTGCTACTGCTCAAATCAGCAGTTTGGGCTCGCAACTCATCTTCCTCTCACCTCTTCTGTTTCATGTTGTGGAGCAGCCTGAGAGCACACAATGTGGCCTCCCTTGGGGTAAAACCAAATGGGAAACTCTGCTCCCAAAGTGCCTCGTTATCTCTGGGAAAGCTGTGCATGTTCAGTCCATGAGGAACAGCTAGAGCTGGCCAACAAAACCACTCTCAATAGGGGGATGGCTGGGGACTTGGCACCCACTGCTTTGTGCTACACTGAACTTCTCTGGAAATGTTTAAATTTTATTTTTTTTCAAGGGGAATTAAAACCCAAGAACTATCTACTATTTCTTCCTATATTATAAATAGCCATCCATGACAAATGGCTATTTAATGACAGAGGAGCAGCAGCTAAAAAGTAGGCTGAAAGTATGTATGCTGAAAGGTAAATCCTGGTCCCACTAGAGTCCATGGAATAATTCACTTGCTTTTCACCTGGAAGGTCTCCATTCCTTTCCCTGCCAGAAACAAATTTACTCTGCAATAATTTCAGAAGGCAGTACCTGAATCAAGGCCACACAGAACTATTGCTGTGAATGCATTTCACTCACACATTTTATAATGGTGATTTTTTTTTTGCAAAACTGCATTCTTTGAAGGTAAATATGGTTAAGACAAGAGTAGCTAGCCCAATCAAATTAAACCAATAGGAAAATAAAAAACCCTTTTCTTGACCTAGATAATTACCTGGACTCCCTTGACAGCCTGCAGACAGATAAGAAGGAGAAGGCAATTCCCTAGGGAACACAGACAACATAGGAACAGACAACTCTAGGAACAAATGCCCATCTTAAAGTGGCTTCCCAAAGTTTAAACAAATTCTGTATTTCCTTACCAGGAACTTAAAGGAAGCTGCTCTGATACAAAAGAACACAGCTCTGTTTTACAGCTGCCTGCACAGGAACACCTGCCCAGGTGACACAAAGTCTCAGAGATACACCCACCACGTACACTGTGCACTCCAGCTGTGCCCATGCCACCTTACAGGGACAGTCACACAAGGGGCTGTGTGACTCCTCTCCTCCCTCAGCTCCTGCACACATCCTCCAGGATGCCTGGTGAGTTCCTTTTGCCACACTCTGCTGCATTTATCAGTGGACAGGTCTGGGCTACACACAAGGAAGTGATCATGTAAACTTTGTGGGGCCTGGACAAGAAGAGATGTCCTGGATGCCCATTCTGAAGGAACAGATGCTCAGAAATGTCTCTGCAGGAGCTGGAAGAGAAAGATACAAGTAAGAGGTTGCAAATATGGTGAGAAACGATGCCAACTGAGAGTCAAAACCTCAGACCACCAGGTACTGGTGGATCTACAATCTCCACCGAACACTGGGCAGAGACCTCACTTTGATCCCAGACATGTTGTGCCAACACCCCTAAACAAAGAAAGCAAACCATACTTTCTCCTTAAGAAAGGAGAAACAGATCATAGGTTTCCTATTTGGGTTGGAAGGGACATTAAAGAACATCCAGTTCCAACTTTGCTGCCATGAACAGAGATACCTTCCACTAGACCAGGCTGCTCAAAGCCCCATCCAACCTTGAATGCTTCCAGGGATGAGACATCCACAGCTTCTCCAGGCAGCCTGCTCCAGTGCATCACCACCTTCACACTGAGTAATTTCTACCTTATCTCTCACCTAAATCTGCCCTCTTCCAGTGTAAAGCCATTACTATGTGCCGTTGTAGAATGTCCCTCTCCAGCTTTCTTGGAGGCTAAATTCCTTGCAGAATCCTAATTTCTGTCACTGGAGTCCTTCACTGCAGAGCTGAGGAAAGGAAATGCAGAGTAGATCAGACAAGGGAAGAGAAGGGAGATCAGTCACCTCCAGAATTGCTTGATTTTAAACAATGTATTTCAGTCCAGGCTGTGTGTCAAAGCTCACCATATTCACTTCTGAATATCTGAGTCTCAGACAAAATTTGACACAAATTTCTGGTCTCAGAGGTCTCTGCTAGTTTAACTGACCCAAGCATTGGAGAGGCAGCAGGAGAGCTAGTCCTCCAGCTACGAGAAAGATAAAGATCAAAGCAGAGCTCAACTTTTTTTAGTTGCTGAAGAATCCCAGGACAGAGAGAAATGTTGTGTGCATTATTAGACATTGAAAATCCCAGTCTAAGAAAAGTTCCATCAGCTTTGCTATGAAAGAGCTACCTTGATTCAGTCTGTGACACAAGGTGATGGAAACCTTGCCATATACTTTGCTGCTCATTACAGGAATTTCTTTTCAGCCTCGGGAACAATCTAGAAACTGCAGTTTTCTGCACAGCATTCTTGCCTGACATTTCTAGGAATGCTGGCCTCATTTCTTCCAGAGCAAAATGCAATCTTACAGTGCCAGCCTGATGTCATCTCTGTTGACATCTGGAGCTAACAGCCCGCAAAGTGCACTCTGGAGCTCTGCTTCTCTGCCCGAAGCCTTTCCTTCTACTCAGGGCCTCTTCCCTGACTTCTGCACGTCCCATCAGGTGCAGCCATCAGCCTGTGGAACACCTGCTGGCATCTGCTGCCACTGTTTACAGAGCAAAGTCCACTGCAGTCCTCTTACCCCCACCCTCCATCTTTAGCAGCTCCCCTCCCCTCAGAACGAACAGACTGCTGTGGAACCCGCCATGCAAGCAGTGGGGAACAAATCTGTCCCAGTGCATTTTATTCAAAAGCTTTTTTCTGATGTGAAAGTTCCTGATCCACTGGAACTGAACATTTGTGGAGCAGGAGGCTGGATAAGATGACCTCCAGAGATCCTTGCCAAACTAAGTGGTGAAAACTTCAAGAGACACTGACTCTCATCAAAACTGAATTTCACACATGACAGCAGTGATCCCACAGGAGTTTTGTATGGTATTTCCAAGTTGACAAAACTCTTGCACAGAAAATATATGAGCAAGAAACTTGTTCTGCTGGTTGGGTGTTGGTGTATTTATAGCTGCACCTTCATAAGGAAGCTGCTGCTTTACCTGTAGACCTGAAAATAGCACTATGTACACATGGAGGAGCTGTGCAATGCAGGCAGCCAAATTTCTTAGGCCAAGACATACAGTGTTGTCTTAAAGACAGATTTGGTAAAGAAAAAAAGTCTGGTTTGGTTCTTAAGGATTTTTTTCATGACTTGGCAAACATGAATTTAAAATAACATTTTAGTACTGGATGCTCACATCCAAGACTGGGGCAATCAAGGGAACTTCGGACAAATAGTCTATTTTGAAGTTCTTAAAAAACACAAGTTGTAAGAATGAGTAGTTTTGCAGTCAGAAAGCAATTCCATTTGAAGTCAAATTCAGATAATCAAAGGGCCATCAAGCTGCAACCCCTGTAATTATCTTCCAAAAACAAGTGGCCAAAGCAGGCATTCCATGCTTGCCACTTCCCGGTAAGGCAAGAGTCAGCCAGTAAGATGCAGCCTCACACCCCTGAGCTGGAACTTCCTCCATATTCCCAACTCCTGTCAGAATAACACCATCCTTGAGCACTTGCTGTGTCCTCTCACCTGTGCTTAGAGGCCATTTGGACAGCGGTGTAAACGCTTCGTGTGAACAAGAGCTGACATTTGCACTACTCAGGTTTATTCTGGCTCTGAATACAAGTTCCAGTGGAATCCATTTTAAATTTTTTTTTTAATTTTGGTCATGCTGAGTGTTTGCATTGGCAAAGGCACAAGCAATGGCTAAAACTGGGGTTTAGACACAATATAAATAAAGCTACAGAAAAGGATTGCTTGGAAACGGCCAGCAGCAGAATGCCGAGGCCTAACAGATGTGCACCCCCTCAGGGCTTTCCCAACTCCATTCCTGTATCCAGCAGGATTCCACAACCCATTCACTTCTAAAGGCTGTGTGCTAATGGCTGAAGGGAGAGAGCAATGGAAATCTCTCCCTATACCCATCCCCTTGAAGAATTCCAATGAACAAGTCACTGCATTTGGAAATGCAAACGCTTTAGAGAGCTAAATCTTGAACAGAAAACCAAATATAATTATCTGGAACTTCCCAAAACCTACCAAAAATTCTTGACAACATTCAGAAGGGCTCTGTGGGAATCCACGTGACCCATCGTCCTACTGCTCAATGGAAAAAAGAAATGACTGCCAAAGGGAAATATTTTTTTTGTCTGGGAATTAAAAAAATCAAATTGAGAAACAAGGCTTTTCAGGTGCTTATCAAAACATGCAAGTGATTCTGATACAATAACTGAGGTCAACACAGCTCACGAGAATCACTGGGATAAACACCACAAATATTTTCAGGGAAAGCATAAAGACTGATTTTGGAAAAAAAATGGCAGAAAAAACCTAACAAACTTAGGTACAGGCAAACACAGAACTAAATAATAAATAAACTCTATGCCCTGTCCTAACACCAAAAAAAAAATGTGAAAAGGTAAATTTGGACCTACAAGTTTTTAAAAGCACAGCTACTGCACTGTGTCACTACCACACAGAATGAGTGCTATTCCATGCCTTGTAGATTTCCAGAAACCTGTTAGTACTTCCCTCCCAGGATAAACCAAATTACTTATTTGTATTCTTGAAGGCATTTGAGTATCACTGCCACTTGAGAACAGAACATATGGAGAAACTTCATCTAAGAAATCTGGAATGCATCAATTGAGTATTTCTTCTATGACATTTCCTCGTGTTAATGATAGTTGGGAAACAAACCTTCACAAACTCCCCAAATCTCTGGGCAGCAAGCAGCTGCATCAGCCTATTCTTGGATTAGCTCTTTTCAGCTGAACTGGGAAAAGAGCCTAGGAAGAAAGGGGAGTGGAAGATGGGAAGTTACAAAATTCCTTAAGGTCGGAAAGTGGGGGAACAAACAGAGATTTTTAGTGTTTATGATTATATAGACTCAGAAATCACTTCTAACTCACTGAACTAGGTTCTAGAAATTTTTTTTGGCACCGCTATCATGTGATCACCATCATTCCTCACATGCTAAAAAATTCCGAGTCAGTTTTCCAAATTTCTGATTTCCTGAAAACAAGCAAGAGCAGGCTGCAAAAGCAGTAAATTCCAGAAAAAAAAAATCACCAAAATCAAAGCTTGGTACAATCCTTGCTAAGGTGTTTAGTTTCTATAGAAACAAATGGTTGTTTTATTGACTTTGCTACTCACCCTTCAGCACATTGACATGTTAATTTGTTAAACACAGCTCCATTGGCAAGGTGTGGAGCAGCTCAGCCGAACCCTGTCCCGAGGAAGGCATGCAAGGCCAGGGGCACCGGGAGCTTCACAGCGTGGTGGCTTTGTATTCTTTTTATTCTGATGTACCACCAACCCGGCCTGGAGAAGGCGGAAAAGGGACCGCACCAGATATAAATATCTCAAAGGAATGTGTCGAGAGGATGGTGCCAGACTCCTTTTGCTGGTGCCCAGCCGTAGGACGAGGACTAAGGCCAGGAACACAAGTGAAACACAAGTGAAACCCAGGTTCCGCCTCAGCGTGAGGGCAGAGCGCGGAAGGGGCTGCCCGGGAGGTGCTCCCCACCCGGACACGGCCCTGGGTCACCGCCCCGGACGACCCTGCCTTGGCAGAGGGGCTGGGCTGCATCATCTCCAGAGGCCCCTTCCAACCCTAACGATTCTGGGAACCTCCCTGAAAAATGGTGAAAAACCCCGGCTGCTGCGGGGAGCACTGACCAGAAACGCAACTGGGAAGCACAGAGCCGGCCGCGGGGCTCGAAGCGCCTGCGGGCACGGGGGGGATCCCGGTTCCCGGGGGCACGGGGGGGATCCCTGCTCCCGCGGGCACGGGGGGGATCCCGGTTCCCGGGGGGGATCCCTGCTCCCGCGGGCACGGGGGGATCCCTGTTCCCGGGGGCACGGGGGGGATCCCTGTTCCCGGGGGCACGGGGGGGATCCCGGTTCCCGCGGGCACGGGGGGGATCCCTGTTCCCGCGGGCAGCGCCGCCGCTCCCGCCCCGCGCCCCGGGGGAGCCGCGCCGGGCGGGGGGGGGGCACAGGGAGCGCGGGGGACAGGCACGTGGTGCTTTACGTCCCTCTTGCGCAATGACGTCACCGCGGCCCGCCGCCAGGGCGGCGCGCCGGGCCAATCGGCGGCGCGCTTAGTGGCAGGGGAGGGAGCCGCGCGCGCCAGTCAGCACGAGGCTTGCACGCGCGCCGCCGCGCGCGCCGGCCGGGCCCCGCCCCTTCCCCGTCGCTCCCGGCAGCCGCCGCCGGCTGCGCCCCGCGCGGGGCCGCGGGGGCTCCGGCCGGCCGGGGAAATGCCGAGGAAGGAGGCTGCCGGGGTTCCCTGGCCGAGGAAGCGGGTTCCCGGGGATCCCTGGCGGAGGAAGGAGAACGTGCCCGTGTTAACGAGGGATGGAGCGAGGCAGACAATGCGGATGGGGGATCGCGGTGTGCGAGAGAATGACGGGAGCGGGGATAAAGGCGGCAGCGCTGTCACACGCAGCGCCGGTGCTCCCTACAAAAGGAGGCCCGGGCTCCCGATCGCTGGCGGTGTGCGGCTTGGCTGAGATGGGCATGACAGCTGCCAGCCTGCAAACCACGCAGCTAACTTCGTGTGGGATTGCGGGAGAGAAATTGCAGGCTGGGGAGAAACTGGAGTGCTTTGAGGGAAAATGAATCCACGAACCAAATTTTCTTCACTGCTTGACGTTTATTTGACAGATCTGTGTGGCTGTCAAATATCTCTTCACTAGCAATTGCTAATGGTATGTGTAATAGCTTGCAGATTTTGCTTCTGCTCTTTTTTTACAGGAATTATTAAAAACTTCATCTTTATTTTCTCGCAGATTTATGCGTGAATAAATCATGATCGTTAATCATCATTGGATAGAAATCTAAAGTGTTTTTACACTAAAGATAAATGTTATTTAATGATTCTGAAGAATATTTGAGTATTTTTAAGTCTTAAAAAAGCATAAGCTCTTGGTTATATTCTCCTTGTTTTGATACTAGCAGTAGGTCAGGGTCCAGGTCACTTTTCCTAGACCGGGCTTTGCTGAGATGCCTCTTAGAGCAGGTGAGGTTTGAGCATGTACAGTGAGGAAAATGGGTAGTTTTGAAAACAGAATTTCTGCCTAACTACATAGTCTATATGTGTACACAGGGAAAAAAAAAAAAAGATAAAACAGATCTAAAACCTGAAGTGTGTTCGTGTGGACTGTATTTTTTTCCCGTAGCCTGATAATGCATTTTACAGAGTCCTGCTTCCTAGGAGGCCTAGCCATTCATACGGAATTGATTTGCTTTTCTCCATAGGTACTGCATTCAAATTTGGTGTAGAGTGACAAACTGGGAGATGATGCTGTGCTAGGACTTACTGCTTGCACTGTTTTGGTTTGGAGTAAGATCTAGGCCTTTGAACTTGAAAGGACCCCAGTGGGTTTTCTTTCTTTTTTTCTTTTTATGTTGATAGGGCCTTAGAAAACATTTAGCATGTAATTATCACTCTTTACTCCAAGTAAGAGAGCTGATCTGTTTTTTCTTTAATGTTATCTCTTCTGTTGATATATTTATATAAAATACAAGTCCCTTTCAGTCTTCATAATGTTTTCTCTTTTTTTTTTTTTTTACATTTTTTTTTTCTTCTTACCCAGCAGCTTTTACACCTACTTTTTGATACAGGAAGCTTCAAAATGGGTGGTAATTAATATATGGAGAAAGCTGCAGCACTGCTGTTAGGTAGTGACTATTCTGAAAAATCAAGTGACTCCTTGATCTGAGCTGCAAGTCAGAAATTTCGACTTCATAAATGTAATTTTACTAAAAGTGCAGTAGCTGTGTAGCTGAACTTGTAATGCAGTGAAATCAGAATGATTCATGAATAGGCTTGAGGCACACACACATGTGCTGGAAATGCCAGTTCAGTTTTATCAGTAGCATTGCTGCTTATTACTATTCTGTCAGTGTTGATCAAGATCTAGATAGTTTAATAAATTCTCATACACATCCTCATAGAAGTTAGGATCTTGGAACATCTCGTGTCTCTGTGGTGTTTTTTTTCTCTCTCACTTTCTAGGCTTTTTTGAGTCTGTGCTGCAGCCAGTGGTCAGTCAGGGTTTTTTTTCTATCTGTATTCTGAATGATAGTTGTTTCTCAAAATCAGATTTTGGGATTATATTTCTGTATTGTATGCTTTCAGTAATGGATTTGTGTTCTGCTTCTAAGGAGTAATCACTTAAAAGCCAGTGCATTTATTGCTGCAATCCCTGTGTGTTCAAGATACAGGACACTGTTAAAGTTTGTAATCAAGTATTTGATACATTTTGCTTAATAGCCAGTGTGGATGTGTAAAGGCAGTGGTTTTTGGGAACCATCCTTCTCCTGAAGTGTTGCTCTGCTCTTAAGTAGTCACAAAAATGTGAGGAAGTAGTTTTTTCCAGTTTGGTTTGGTGCATTTTCTGTCATTTTGTTCTAGAGTTCTTACTAGGTTTTCTGTGTAATTTGTTATCACACTTATTCATGCAGCAACTGTGAGACTGGCAAAGCACTTCAAAGAAAAGAGAAAGTAGCTGTAGAACCACAGATAATCGGAGCACTCCTGAGCACATCTACTCATCATCTGAGAATACTTCTTAGCTAGTGTTTTTGAAAATGTAGGTTAATATTGCACCTTGATGGTAATTATTAGTCCTCTCTCAAGTAAGCTGAAACAGTGTTGACTTCTTCACTCAGATGTCTGGGAGCTGGTGACCCTGACAAGAGTTCACAGAGGACAAGGTCATACTTAATTTTGTAGTTGTATTAGGATTCATCTTTTGAAATGGATACTAGGCTGAGCTTTTGTTTAGGATGAACTGAGGTAATTGAGGTTTTTCTAGTAAGTTTGTTAAGGAAGACAGGTAATGTGGAATTTTTCCCCAAGCCATTTGTTGTCTGCAAACTGAATATGAGAAGTTTTATGGGAGAAAAATTCGGTATGGCCTACAGTTTGAGAAACAACTCCATAGGCTATTTTGGATGTCAGTAATTAATGGCTTTAGTATTTGAAAAAGAGGTGCATTCTGCTGCAATGGGTGTTAGGTATATTTTGTCAATTATCCACCTCTTCCAGGGTTGGAGACTTTGTTCCTTGTGAAGGAAGTTTGACACAGTTTCATAGATAAGTTAATCTTAGTAAATTCTTAGTATATTTCTTAATTTTATATTGGGTTAGGAAGTGGGTGTAACCATGACAAATAGCCTTTTCTTGGCTGTTATGAAACCTCACAGGATCAGTTTAACTTGCTGCTCTGGGAAGGAGAAGGGGAGTCTTTCACCTTACAGAAATGGCTTTCCATACATAACCTTCACAGACAAGATTTATCTCGAAGCTTTGACTTTGTTTTACCTTGTACTAAGAAAATTCTTGTCAGCTAAACCATTTAAGTCCTAGTGTAGAGTAAGATGTAATTTTTGAAGTGGTCATTGACACAATGTTAATGTGGTCTTTTCTCTCCTCCTGAAGATGAGATTTAATGAATTTGGTTAAATAGAGGGTGTTCTCAATATGAGGGTTTAGAAGAGTCATGTAGTAAGTTTTCTGGCAATGACATCTTTGAAACTGGCAGCACACCTGAGAAAAGTTAATTTGAAGCTTCAGTGAGTCTGTATGTAGAGTCAGCTTTGGGGGAAGAAAGGATGATCTTGTTCTTTACATGACTTTGTTTTCCCTTAATAATACATTCAGTGCCTGTCTCTGTTATTTGAATGTTACTTACTTTAGGCCGTGCCTGAACTGAAAATTTGTGTACTTTGCATTGCCTGCATTGTTTGCACGCTCTGAATTTATGTAGAAAAAATAGCTAGCAAGAACATACCTTTTTAATCTGCACATCAATTTAAGGTCCCGTGCAAGCTGCTGCTCTGGCAAACGCCAACCCCTTTGCATTTACTGATGAGCAAATCTGTTAAAAATCTCAAGCAGATGTTGCTGGAAGGAGCTGGCGTAGGGTGTGGTGTGGCTGTGCAGGGAGCCAGCAGGGATGTGGAGCTGGTGTCTTGGCTCCACACGTGTGCAGCAGCCATGCACAGGGAGGGAGGGAGAGCTCCTGAAAATGCAAATGTTCATGTTAAAGTGATATTGCATGACCTGAACCCACTCTGCTACGTCCACAGGCGTGCTGGGAGAGTACCTGTCCTCTGGTGTAGAGGAAGGCAGCCTGAGCACAAACTTCTCTGCTGTTACTTACGTGTCATTTGCATTGCTGCCCCAAGTTGGGGAAAAGAAAGACAGATGTGTTCTTAAATAGAGAGTCCGCAAGTTTTGTGCAGATAATACAGTACTTCTTTTATCTTAAGAGATTTATTTTGGTATGCTTTAGACTGTTCCTGATGTACTTAGCAAAAGTGCAGATAGCCCACCTCAAACAGGGATAGGTGGTTTAATTACTGGGAAGCCATAACTGATGTATTATTTGAATTCCCTGAATTACAGCTGCTTGATGAACTTTAGTAACAGGCAAAGTGTTGAACTTGGTTTTAGGATCCATTTCTTGAAAGCATATCCAAATTTAGATTGTGCTCTTTCAGAAGAGAAGAAGGGAACAGTATGACTGTCATGACATTATTATTATCATCAGACTCTTTCTTAGATGGAAACACTTTTTAAAATATAAAATGGTTTGGCTGCCTCAAAAGATTTGCACCACCACTGTGGTAATATAGACTGTTACAAAACTTTTACACAGGCCAGTAGTCTAGGCCTTTTTGGACTTTGCTCTGCCAGGGTCCTCTTCTAATTACAATTGCGTGCTACAC